CAAATGAAATAAATAGCAGCATTACTGTAAGTGACACTCTGATAATTTGCCTCTTCCACTTCCCTCCACTAAAATCAACACACAACTACATATTTCAGGATGAAGTAATAAGGGGAGGATATGGAAGTAGCATAGCGACAGTAAAGATACGACAAGAAAACCCCCAATAGAAACAAATACCAAAATAAACTATTACCAAACATGACTCTACCATAATGTATTTATATTTTCTGTAAACGTTACATGAAAAGTAAAAACTTACAAGATTCATTCCCGTGATCATGGGGAAAAGAGTCTGATTCTCATGCGGTGTGCTGCGACGCCAACTCAACATACCGGTATATCCGGAGACACGTAGGCTGCTTAGCTGATCTCGAGCACGGATGCAACTACTGAACAGTCTTCCTGCAACAGGATAAAAACAGAGTATGGTCTACGTGTATCACGGTGACACCAACTCCTCCCTGGACTCATTATAGTTTCTTGTAGCTGCATAACACGGGTGTGCCATATGTCAAATGTTCACAGAATGAATATAAAAAATATTCATGCATTTTTAACTCTGTTTCTACATTGTTTACTTTAGTTTATAATCTTTTGTTACAGGACTCATTAGAAAAAGAGCATTCAATTGGCATGAACTGGAACACTTGTGCCAGTCTTTGAGCAGAAATAGGTGCAAAATCTATAGAGAGATAAGATAAAAATCTGAACCTACACACATTATAATAATAATAAATATTGGTAAGATTTCATGAAAATAAAGTAAAACTAAGCAAAATTGTAAGAAATACAGATCTTCAACCATTTTTATGATAAAACGCATGTCAGACCTCAATAATCTTAGTTAGATAGATAGTAGCACTCTCGGGGCGGAAGCACGCGCTTCTATCCAGTATTGTCCCTTCGACACACGCACTCATCCCGAGTACAGTCTTGCGTCAAGACCCTACAAGGGGTGAGTGCTGCTTTGCGAAGCCGCCGGCACGGGACCCCGGAGTGTTCCCAGAAGGGAAGTGTTTTTGCAAAGCCGACCCCTATGTAGGACAGCGAAAGTCGCATAGCCCAGAGGGGTCATTGGCTCGGCCGAGGCCGTGACTAAACTCGTATGTGTATCAGTTAGCAGTCAAGGGGGTGGTAAGGTACAGGGGAGGGGTGTAGCGGCCGGGCCCGAGCCCGGCAAATGGCACCCCTCCCTCAACAACATCGGACGAAACTCAGCATGCCACAGCAAACAGAAGAGGTACAGCTTTGGCCCACCCAACGGAGGGTAGTACCGGAGGAGTGCGTAAGAAGAGAGATGATACCGGTGCTCAAAGAGGCCATGCGAGGCGGCAACACATAGAGGGTGGAAGCTGAGCAGAGGGGGAGGCAAGGGAGTAAAGAGAGAGCAAAGCGAGGAAGAGTCTGGGAAGATGAAGAGAAGAGCGAAGGCCGGAAAGACGGATGGGGGACGGGCCGAGCAGGCAGAGAGGGGCGGAGGGCAGGAGTGCAGAGGGAGCAGAGGGAAGGCCTAGAGAGCCCAGAGAAAAGGGTGGGGCAGGGGCAATGATGCAAAAGTGGGAGAGGGCAAAACAGAGGCAAGAAGGGCAATAGAGAGGCAAGAGGCCGTGGGAGAAGGGGGGGGGGGGGCACTAGGGCAGGGACCGAACGCGGCACAGAGGCAAAGATGACCAAGAGGGGTAAGAGGCAGATGCCAGGGGGCCAGAGAGGAGAGGAGCCGGGGGCTGGATGGAGGCAGAGAGGAGGGCGATGCGTAGAAGACAGGAGGAGAGAGGAGACATATATAGAGAGAGGCAATGCAGAAGGGGAGACGGGAAGAGAGGGGAGGGGTCCAGCGGCGCTTCAGAGGTTCGCGGGGAGCTCCACGCCGTCCCCTCATTCCTGGCACCACCCTTCAGGGTAGCGCCTTGACCGGGACCAGAGCCGTCGCTGGCCTCTTGCTGGACCCGGTTATTCGGGTATTGGCACCGCGAAGGCCGGGGGAGGTTTTCTGTACGATGACGACGGCGAGCTTCACCCCGTCCCCTCCCGTCCCATCATCCCTAGCACCACCCTCCAGGGTAGCGCCGTGTGCGGAACGAGAGCCGCCGCTAGCCTCTTGCTGGCTCCGGTGTTCCGGGGACTGGCGCCGCGTAGTCCAAAGGCGTGGGGAAGAGCTAAATCCTAAGAAGAGGGAGAGATAGGCCACACCACAATGCAAAGCGAGAGGTAGGCGAAGATAATTAGAAAGGGATTAGGCAGTGCATAGCGACAGAGGTGAAATAAAGCAAGCCTAACGACAGTCGCGTTTGGGCATATTAGTAAAGAAGCAAGGCACAGCACACAGGCAAGCACAATATAGCATGCGAGATTCGTCCGACCTGTCCCCCTTTCCAGGCAAGAGGGCCGCGAGGAGGCTTACCCACGACTGAGGCTGGCTAGTCCAGCCTCAGCCGCCCTCACCCACCTCAATAATCTTAGTTTAGCATAAAATCAGAAAAAGTTTTAAACTACCGTAAATCTTACCTTTCATACTTGCATGTGGATATTGCTCGGACATTTAGTCAGCAGTTCGGTCCCAGAACTGTAAGAAGGAGAAAAAGTGAATTATTTGGAGAGAATAAAATAACTCTGGTCTCAGCTCAACTGTATAATTTCACGGCTCACCTCATCAGTATACCAACCACAGCGTGAAGCGTGAATGCTGAAAGACAATGCCAAGAACGCAGTAGTGTTCGTCCCTGAACCCTGCAATCTACTCCACAGCCTTTTGAAATTGATTAAGCTTACCCTTTGGTTCGTCTGATATGTTCTTTTTCAAAATTAATTTTCAGTGGCACACTTTCGCGTGCTAAAATCATTAGGACAGAGAAACGTCAGTTATCACATAAATATTTATTTATTTCATTTCCAAATGTACCCAAATGGACTAGGTGTAAAAATATTTATACTTAAGTTGTGGGAAGAAATTACATACTATCAAACACATGCAGCAAAAGCTTACATAACAAATAAGAACCACCATTAGATTTCAAATTGGTGGGGAGAGAGCTGAAACAGTAAATATACATTTATAATACTTTCTTCTTTATTGTTTGTGAACTCTTTGGCAATTATAAGACAGAAAGATGTTTACATTGGTAAATTACCTATTTGGATAATAAATAGTTTCCAAAAAATCAATGGGCAAGGAAATTTTGCAAGTTACAAGAGCAACAATATCAAGTTGAGTATGGTGTCTAAAGTCATGTTGAAATACCTCGACGTACATAGAAAAGTTTATCTATGTAACACAGGGCTGAAGGTTTCATTAAAGACTGACAAAGTAAAGCACGAGCCGGAAGTTTACATAGGTATAAGAAACAATTTGTAGCGTTTGTGACACTTCACTTAAGGCACTCATGGAATATTTTATTTCAGAATCCAATTCACCAAATCTAATTTTGGAAAGCAAGTATTGTTTCTTTACTTCACATAAACCTTTCATGTGTCACAATATTACTCTACTTTGGCTGTTTAAAAAAAATCAGGTACTTAAACTACTTTAATGATATATATCCTTTACCACAGTACTTTGGTTTAGATCATACAAAAACAAATGCATGATTAGAAAATACAGTTGCCAGATGATCTAAAAACTTCCCACTCTGGCTTAAATGATGGTTTGATTTTGTTGATTAAAATCTCACACTGCCTTAACTTAAGTCACGTATATAGAATTCTTTTACTTACTGTATTCTTTTGTCGGCTGTCTGTCAAGTATTACCCTGTACTTAAATATTACATACCTAAATCTCACAGCCAATATTTTTATGCGAATAAAAACTAGTGAGAAGAGCAATTGCTCATACATAATCAGTGCAAAATGATATAACTATTTAACTAGCTCAGTTCTATAAAATTTCTGTGACTTGACATGATAGAAATAGTAAGCAGTTCACAAGTCTGCTGGTACACAAACTTCCCTCCAAGATGAAAGCTAAGCTCTTGAGAATCACATCCATTTTATAAGTTTTGAAGAGAGACAAGATGCAAAGTGGGTCTAAAACCCCATGTAACAGGTCTAATTATTAAGAATCTGTCACACGTAAAGTGTTAAAAGTTTCTCCATAAGTTGTCTCAATTTCTGTAAATCCAGCCTTTAATTGACTTTTGCTACTTATTCCACTACATTAATGATGATATAATAATTTAAATTGTAACAAATACTATAAAATTTATAATAACTTATTTAATGCATAACTTACTAAAAAGTTTTAAAAATAAATAACTATACAACTTCACAGATACCGGGCAAGGGCAAAATTGATGAGATATCCTCTTTAGTTAGTACTGTAATTTTCAATGTCAAAGATGCACTAAGTGCACTAAGTATGGAATGTAATATCTGCTATAACAATGTTCTGGTTAGTCATATTTTAGACAATCATACAATAACTAATGTGTATAAAAATAAGGGTCTTGGTTTGAATGATGAAAGTTAAGGCTCATTTATCCCTCTCAGTTCTTGCAAATAAGTCCAGCAAAAAACATTCTGAATACTGCCGCTCAAAACCAAATATGCAGTTTGCGTACTGCAGTATCAAACTATTCTGAGACCTGATAATATGTTACAGTACATGCTCAACTGAAAACAGATGAGTCACAATGTAATAAAATACTTCATGAGTCCATCACAGGGTATTTTCTTGGTGGCAGGCGGGTGGTAGTCCGCCCTGTTTGATCAGATTCAGGTCGGGAAGATTTAAAATGTCTTCCAGCATTGTCAGGTTTTGCTGTCAGGCTCTGAAGAGAACTGGATCCTCTGGTCCACTCACTCTCAGGGTCAGAAAATACATTGCTTGAAAAGTGACGATCACGGTCATCACGGTCATCTTCCTCTGTGGAGCTCACACTCGTGTCTCCGTCATAACCGTCTAAATCTGAAAATTAGTAGAGCAAAAATAAGTTAAGTATATGTTCCAGTTTTACATTTAAATTCCACACTTGATCTGAGAACCTATGAACCAATCAAGGCTGTTCATGCACTGTACACACCTTCCTCTTCCATTGTTGGTTGAGTTGACATCCATGAGCCATGCATAACTTCATCCCAATCATCATCATACTGAAGCTGGGTGTTCAACATCTTCTCCTCAGGATTTAGGAGGACACTTGAATCAGCATCAGTGACATCGTATATCTCAGTTACTTTGACCTAAAACACAAGGAAACAGGTCAGTTGTTGGTGCAACCATCCCATGACGGGAGATAAAATGAGGCTTTTGATTGTTGAACTGTAAGTACCTTGTTGTTTTCATCCATGTAGTAATATGCCATGACTGCCTCATGTTGAGCAGTCACTTGAAGGATGTGTTCAAATGTGTCATCATCAACATTAGAAGTTTCAGCTCTATTGACTGAAAAGCTTCCATGTCTTGACAAAATTTTATTTGAGGAAAACCTTCTAGACGTTCCTTTCTTTTCTCCACTGCAATTATTAGGCAGAACAAAATATGTTAAATGGTTTCACTGGATTGTTCTTTATGCATAAAATAAAATCCACCTTCTACTCACTTCTCATCCAAATTAAGCGTGAAGTTGAAGTTCATCTTGTTCTTAACTGGCACTGGGCTCTCCTGTTCTTGTTCAGTATCACATGCTCCCCCATATTCTGTGATGGCCAGCTGGCATGTTATTTGAGCACTCATTTCTCTTCGCTCTCTGTTCATTCTTTTCAAAAGACGAGACACTTCATCCATGATAAATTTGCTCATTAAGTAGAGATTGTTGCCCATGTGGGGTGCCATAGCAATAAGCCTAAGAAGAAAGAAAGGTTTATAAATCATTCCAAAAAAGGAAACAATCAAGAAAATAAATAATTAAAACAACAAGAAACCAGTGGACATACATGAACAAAACATGCCACAAAAAAGAATTCGAGTCACACAACTTTCACCACAAACACAATGACAAAAGACAAGATCTTTGATCAGAGTGAGATAGACAAACGGAAAGTAAGACCATTGGTGAGGCACTGGACAAAGACAAAACCACAACACTCACTTTGTAAAGGTTGCATACATGAGGTCAGCAGGCAATGTGTACGGTAGGCTTAGGACAGAAAGGAGTTTCATGCCACGATGTTTGAAGACCCAGTTCATTAGACCCTTGTTTGCAGAGTCAATTGCATCTTGGAATATACTCAAGACAGTATCAGGCAAGTTGGCAACTGTGGCCTCCTGGCGATGAACTTTGCATTCTTGACACTGAGGATCATACTCAAGACTTTCATCGAGCGTGTCTTGGACAACAAAAGTTGATTGTACAGCCAAGCATCTCGTGCAATTGATCAAGTTATTGCGGTTCAAAAATCTTAGGGCATCATCAAAGCCTTGTTTGCACATGTTTGACAGAACCTAGACAAAAATGAAAAATATATTCCATGACTCAATGAAAAATGTAAGGCATGATCATTAGACATGTTTATGTAATAAATCTTACCTCTGGTTTAGGAGGGAATAAAATTCTAGTGAATCGATAAATGTTCTGTCTTGAAAGCTCAATACTGGTATTAGCCACATTAATCTAAAATAGTCAAAGTCAAAATTACAGATTTATACTTTTGGAACTGTATTCTACAATAGGTAGTTGCATCCAAGAACTTTAACCGCATCCTACTCACATGGAACAATTGAAGAGATAAATCTCGAGGACAAATGTCACTTTCTCCACAGAAAGGGCTAACTGTAATTGTATTCTCATCCAGCGTTGGTAGGTTGTCACTGAAACCACCATCCATGTATCGAATACCATGGAATTTTGGTGGCAGAAATCCAGAGAATATTGGAACAAAAGCACTAGCCATGAGGGCCTGAAACACAAAATATGAGTAAGTACAACATCATG